CTTCAGAGAGAAAAGCCTTCTTGAACAAAACCTCAGATATATACCTCAGCCTGCACTGATGCCCTTGATAATATGATTGTACATCTTTTTATTCTCCTTTAAAACTTCGGTTTATCACTATTTGTTTGAGATTTCACTCAACTTTCATCCTTGGTTTGTGGACGTTTCACTGGCACAAAAGCGAAAGTTCAGCTCGGACTTATGAAGGACTCGTTGAAACTCATGAACTTGGTGCAACCTTACTTCAGGCTCCAACAAGTCCAACATGTAAATCCCTATCAGACAACTCTTTACGTCGAATAGAAGGTCTAGTGATAGGAAACTAGAAAATTACTCTTCGAAGCATTGTTTGATTGGCGCACATTGAGCTGATTCGCTTATTTCTCTGTTCAGCACACAAATAAGCTAAGTCATGCGAAAGGAAAATTGCCTTACACGATAGCCACCTCAACGAGGTGGACGGTGACAAAAAAGACCGAGCCTCAGCTTTCCGGCAAGCGAAATCGGAGAAAAATACACTTATCTTAGTTCACTACTTTCAAATGCAACAGTAGACTGTAAGACTCCGAGTAAATGCCTACTTTAGCCAGACTCTGGGACCGGTAACAATTCGCATGTGACGGCTGCGTGTGGGACTAGCGCGAATAGAATGTCACTAAAACTGGTCTAAAATGATTCAGAGACCCTGTGATTGGAGCGATTGTAGACAATCGGGATACTTACTATTTCAGATAAGTGAATGGATGACATAATAATGGTCGGTTACTTTGTGCCTTTCTTCTCTTAACTCCAGCACAATTAATGTGTTCCATCATCACCATTCGGCAGATGCAATCCGATGTCATGCCATCCCTCAACTCTAACTCACAACTTCTCAGTAGCTGAGCCATCTTCAGGTCAACCTGGCGCCTAGCCTGAAGTTTGATCTCCTCAACCTCCTCCTCCGGACCCCAACACAATGCCAGCATGTACCATAGACTAAAGATGCACATAAATAATTGACGTGAAAAATAAACTCAAATTTATATTTTAATTATACAGGTTCGTCACGAAAAACTGCATTTTCACACTTTTGAAGCATATTGGCTGGAATTTTTACCGCCAACTAATGTCATGAATTTCGACAATTCAGCTCGAAATTCCACATACCTTCAAGTTTCCACATTGACCTTTGAGTATCCCAATAATTCGACCTATATCCAACGTCCATTCATGCACTTTTGTATTTTCTCTAAGTGAATTCAGTTGTTAATCAATTTTTTGACTAATATATTCTCCTCATTAATTCTGAAAGGGCGGGAGCAACGGGAGAATGGGCCCAGCGAATCAGGCACTTCTGCTAAGCTTTTTGATCCACATGATTCATTGTTTGAGAGACTTTCATTTTTTATGAAAGTGCATGTAGAAAATATTCGTAGGCTGA